AAGAATGGGAAGGTGTAAGACACCGCCGAGATTAAGCGCTTGGTAGTTAGAGTGGAAGTATGGTTATAATTGTAGGACATGTGAGAGATAGTGAGTGTTGTTTTAGATTTGGGGGTCATCTGGAGGGAAGGACGAGGCACCAAAGGTTTAGGTCTTAGTGATGTGGTAATAAGTAGAGAGAAAACGATGATGTGGTGAGCCACTTGGCATGGATTGTAGGATTTCAATTAAAAAACTAAAGGACATTAGAGTTTGGGGATAGCTGCACCCCTTAAAATAATTTTATGGGTATTGATACATCTTTCTTCATTTAAGGATATTGGATGCTTTTAGGAGAAAAGTTGGTTGGTATTTTTGCTTTGCTCTCAATTATACTATAATATATATAATATGTTATTTTTAATGAAGTACAATATATTATTTTATTTAAAAGTATATAAAAAATGGAAATTAATATGGGAAAATTGGTGAAAAGGCCCTTATTGGAAGGAAAATTGATCTCAAGGACTAAATGCAATTGAAAGACCAAGGTTAATATTTTATTCATTAAATAATTTGAACAAATGATCGAAATGCCCTTATGTGTTAATTAATTTTTTTTCAAAAGGCACAAAATCAGTCTATTGGAGCTCTAGCCACCAGAGCTCTGGTTACCGGAGTTCTTGCAGGTGACAGTATGCCTGCCAGAGCTCTAGCTGGTAGGTCGTCAGAAAGTGTCAACACCTCTGATTACATGTAAGCATCAAGGATTACATGTAAATTCAATAATTATAGGGTGCAAGGATTTTGACTTAAGGTGTAAGGGATTTGGCTTGGGTAAAAGGATTTTGGCTTGAGGTACAAAGGTTATGACTTAAGTGTAAGGCTTCTGGCTTGAGGTGCAAGGCTTTTGCCATAGGGTGCAAGGCTTTGGGCTTAAGGTGCAAGGGCTTATAGCTTGGGGTGGAAGGCTTTTGGCTTAAGTTCAAGCGATCTGGCCTAGGGTGTAAGGGATCTAGTTTAGGGTGTAAGTGTTTTGGCTTAAATAATTACATGTAATATCTTATAAATTACATGTAAATCAAATACACAAAAAGCATATCCCTGTCAATCCCCCAGAATTACATGAAAGTGACTGTGGATTATATGTAAATCAATATGGGAAAAAATTCGTGAGCATGCTTGAGGAATAATTTATATGTAATTCTAGCAGATTACATGTAAATCAATCACGTAGAGTAGACGCCCCTGTTAGTGCCTTGGATTTACATGTAAATTAATATTGATTACATGTAAATCCAATTTGAGGAAAAATTCGTGAGTATGTCTGAGGAATAATTTACATGTAATCTCTAACGGATTACATGTAAATCAATCACACAGAAAGGATGCCCTTGTTAGTGCCTTGGATTTACATGTAAACTATCATTGATTACATGTAAATCGATGTAAGGAAAAATTTGCAAGCAAGCTTGAGGAATAATTTACATGTAATCTCTAGAGGATTACATGTAAATCAAACACATAAAGAGCATGTCCTTGTCAATCTCTCAAAATTACATAAAAATGACTATGGATTATATGCAAATCAATATGTGAAAAAACTCGTGAGTATGACTAAAGAATGATTTACATGTAATATTTAGTGGATTACATGTAAATCAAACACATAGAGAGCATACCACTATCAGTGCCCTTGAATTACATGAACATGACTATGAATTACATGAAAATTACTAAGCTAGATCTCTTATGCCCTAAACCAGATTCCTTGCACCCAAGCCATACGCCATGCACCCTAAGCCATAACACATGCACCTTAAGTCAAAAGTCTTGTATCCAAGCTATATCTCTTGCACCTTAAGCCAAAATCCTTGCACTATTTGATTTTGGTATCCCAAATCAAAAAATATATTATAGGGAGTAAGGACATCATGCCCATGTTAAATTACATCATACCATATACAAAAAATAAATAAGAGAACACTCACGATAAGTTCTCTCTTTTTTAAGTATTATACATCATATAGCAAGCTATGTTAACTTGTAAAAGATGTGGATTTAATAATGTAACATTGAGAAACAATTGAATTGTCCTAAGGAAACAAGTAAATGTGAAAAGTGAAAATGAACAACACAATAATTTCAATGAAAGAATATTAATTTCATTAGATTTGGTTTATCTTTCTGTCAAGTATAATAAAAATCAATAATGAAGACCATAGGGCAACCCATATCAAAAGATATACTATGAGAGTAAGAACAACATCATGTCCATATTAAACTACATCATATCCTATACAAAAAACAAATGAGGGGGACGACCATTAATGCACTTCAAAATACACTTCACATTTTTATTCAATTTTTTAGGGGAATCCCTTAATCAGCATTTCCTTATAGCTCACTTGAGTTATAAGATGCATGTAAAAGCTTCTTGACTTGAACTTATTTTTCTTTTCCTCTTCAGACAAAGCCTTATACTTTAGTGCATCTAAAACATTGTGCCTGAAATAAAAATTAATAGCTATCTCAAGTGAGTCATTCAAGCATTAATGCAGGACATCTACAAAATTACAATTAGCTTTTTGGGCAATACAAGTTAAACACTTTTTTATGGCCTTTCAAAGAGTTAGTAAAAAGTTAATTCCCCAATAAAAGAATGGACGCCATACAAGAATTTTTTGGCTCATATTAACATAGATTTATAATAGAGTAAGTATGAACTTTAACCACATCAGAGAATCAACCATGAATTTGCAACATAATACAAGCCAAGACTATAAACTTTAATAGTAGAAGACTCAAAAGAATGGACCAATTAAAAGGCAAGTAAAACACATGGTTAGTCAAGCATATCTGAATACTTACATGATTTCCTTATGATGTTAAGAATGATTTAGTCAAGCAGATCATGGTCAAGTATTTCATTTACATTATATCTATTGCAAAATAAAGTGATTCTAGACCAAATGATTATATTTTGTATGCGCATATGACAAAACGGAAAGCTCACATATATTTCAAAACAAGCCATCTAAAATATAGAACAAATTTATTTGAATAAACAAAATTAACAAAAACGTACCTACTACACTTTTATAGTTCTTGTACAATTCCTCCATTCTAACAGCAACATTAGAAGGTAGAGATCCTTTTTCTGCTTCTTTCCTGATTCTTAACAGAAGTTGTACAAAAATACAATAAACATTAAATAGTATGACAACTTTTTAGGATTTGATGTAAAAACTATGCTAGAAAATAAGAGTATTATAAGAACTAGAATTTTACATAAATTATGCCTCAAAGTGCTAAATTTAGTAAGTGGCTATATTTAATAATTAGACCATTCTTTCAATCTTTACACAATACATCAAAAGATTTTCTAGTTTCTGAACTATTACCTTGAACTTCGTATTGTAAAGCAATCTCCATTGTCTAATTTGCTTTTAGTTTTGCTCCAGATAATAAAAACATATGGCAATTATATTAGAAATAGATGCTTTACAATTATATTATGATTATTGAACCAATTAAGAACTAGAATCAAAACCATAGGAAGATTAAGCAACGAAGAATAATGCTATAAAAAAAGTGGCCAATAATTACACAATGATATTTATGAAATTGTGAAACTATATAGCAAGGTAGTTATATCAAGATTCCAAAAATATATGACCAAACAACAAAATGAGCTGAAACAAGAAGGAGAACTAGAAACACTTGCCAAATGTCCTTCATATAACCAAGAAAAGGACAATTGCTGTAAAGCCTCAATAAATGGCACAGTTTCAATGTCACTTGTAAAAGTAAAAAATATATTCCTATGTAATGAATTGACCAAGATAATATGGATGAAGAAGAAGCATTTCTACTTCACAAAAATTCTTACCTATAGTGCCTTTAAGCTCAATCATACAAACATCTGCTAGTCCCTCCTTCCCATCCATATGAACTACACCAACTAATTAAATTTAATCTTTTATGGCATATGTGATGTGTGGTACCACCTGTATTAACATCCCAAAAACTCAATAAACTACTCCTCATCTATACAATACAAGTATGCAAGCAATACATAATAGCAATTCCTTTTAAAGATGTTCTCAATTTTGATAAAGATGGTTTATTTTAGGATTAAACATTTATTTAGTGGGACGTTTACAACTAATTATATAGCAACAATATAATCACAAACATATTGAATTCCATCTTGCAAAATGTACTTGTATATTCACGATTCATAAGTTTGACTGTTGCTTCCTTATGCCTAAACCCATTCCAATTATAGTTCTTACTCCTAGTTACATTCCTAGAGAAAACCTTGACATCGAAATTGGAGTCCAAGAAATCAAAATAAGATGAAGAATCAGCAAAGCATTGAATAGAGAGAGGCTTTCAGCTCCAAAAAGTACCCATCCTATAGAAGCTTAACGACGGATAAAGGTTGGTGATGAGGAAGAGATGTTGAATTGGTAGAGAAACACAATCAATGATGGTCGAAGGGAGAATAGAGCAAAATGGAATAGGAGAAGCACTGGTCCATCTGAGACAAAAACACCGTCACCATATCCATTTTCATTTAGACCAATTCGAAGGGAGATTGAGAATAATTGGGATTCAAATCACTAAACCTTGAAGATCTTTAGTGACTCAGTGGTAGTATGGTCAACAATGACATTACCCTTGGCGGGAAATCTGTTAGAGAAGCTAGAGTAGCCACCATCGTGGCCAGAGTATGAGTCATCTTCATGGTAGTTGTTGAAGGGATGAGTAGGAGAAGAGTTGACATTCAACTCCTCACCACCGATGCTGCTGAAGACATTAAAGGAAGACATCTTTACTAACTTTTCTCTCTCAAGAATGTTGAATGGGTGAGGGGCATTTTAGTCCATTCATCTCATTTTTTTAATATTATAATAAATTTGGTCCTTAACTTTTATCTGATCATTGAGCACAATCTCCTTCTTAAGTAGGTCCTCTTTATCAATTCTCCCAATTAATATTAATATTTCAAATAATTTTTGTTTGGCCGAGTCAAATCAAATATATCCTTCTGCAAGCAGCGAAGCACGGGGTCTATTTCCAATCCATTGAAAAAGGAAACGCAAAGAGAGAAGAAAAAGTGACAATTTTGTGTCATCTGGTCGCTAGGAATCGTAGTGCGCGGGATGAAGAAGGGGGCAGCGAGCTAGAAATGGAGGGGACGTCGTTTTTACGGAACAGATACTGGGTTTTGAGGCATGGCAAGAGCATTCCAAACGAGAGAGGCCTTATTGTTTCCTCCATGGTTCGTTATTTAATTTCTTATATTTTCCCTTTGCTTACTTTTAGTACAGATAGATTGGTGCTGGCCTTGTGTTTGCTTGCCCATGTTATTAGTTCTTCTGGAGGAGACTTATAACTGATAAATGATCAACGGTTATCTACCCTTTCCAATTCTTTCTGGAATGAACACACAACAACAACAACTTCTTAAACATAAAGCCTGAAGTCAAAGGGAATCCATATGGAGCGTTTGACCAGTTAATGAAAAAATAACAGGAAAACGGTACGCGTCCAGAATTCAAATTGGCTTCCGAGGGAGTTAATCAAGCAGAATTGGCTGGAAAATTATTCCAAAAGGTAGCTGCTTTTTCTTTTCAGATTCTCCTTTCCAAGACATTTTTTTAGCTATCCCATTTAACAAATCTTCTGAGAGGCTAAATCACCCTTATTGTTATCGTTGGTTATTTTAGGTTGAGTATGTGCATGTGTGTTTGTTCATTTTGTCTGAAGATAAGCTTCGTTCTCTGATACTTCACTATACTTGGTCTTACTTGAATATGACTATGCATCGTACTCAATTTCGTAGTACAAGGATTATTTTCTCCAAAAGATTGAACTAACTTCTACGAATATCTTAGAGGCTAACTTGACTTTTACTTTAATGAGGGTGGTCATTGATTCTTTTGGTATTTATTCATGTTAGCCTTTCTTTTAATAGCTTTCTCATTCTCCTAACACACACACAGTTCTTCTTAACAATCTTCATTTGGAAATCTAAGGCTTCTTCTGAGGTCTTTGTTTGGACAGCAGTACTTTAGGATCAATACTAATGACCTATTGCTGCTTCACAAACCAAATACGGCTTTCTCCTTATATATGCATTGTGGGTATGTCTAATTTTGAATCAATGGCAAACCTTTTCCTTACATTGCCCAATAGCTGTATTCTTATGGAGTAAATTATTTATTGTCCTTGAAGAACTTTGCTTCTGCCCTTTGGCTCTGACAACAGTTTCTCTTGATAAGGTACAAAGATTTGATTAAAACAAAGAGGCTGAAACTTTGTGGTGACTGGTGATGTGCTATGTGTGTTTTAGTGATGGCTAATCATCACTTAATGTAGAGTGAGATAGGGACGTGTTTTGGCTTCCCTTTGGTGTTTCATTTACTGGTTTATTCAAGAGAATGTCTCTTTCAGATACTCAGAGTGATATGGAAGCTTTGTTGCATTCTGGAGTCTTATGTTTATTCTATTTTCTTGCCGTTCTCATTTTTTTCTTATTTTATGAGAACTTGTCTTGTAATCTTCTCTTTCTCATACAGTTCCTTCTTGTTTGTTTTTTTGGGGGAAAAGATCTCTCTATGACAATATATGATGAATAGCTATGTCAGAAAGATCATTTTACCTAACAACTTGACCCTTAGTAGAGATCTCTCTTTTGTTTTATAAAGGTGCAGAAGGAGAACACGGACTATTTCCAACTGTGAACATTACTTATGCATTTTTGTGCTGTGTAAACATTACAAAAGACTATCATACATGCTTCCTCAGTTGTATGCTGGTATTTTTTGGCCAGGAACTAGAGACTAGCAGCATATTACTTGAAAATGTACGCATTTGTTACTCTCCATTTTCAAGAACAAGCCACACTGCCAAAGTGGTTGCAAATGTGTTAAACCTTCCTTTTCAAGGCTCACAGTGTAAGGTGAGCCGTTGAAGCTCCCTAGATAATTCCTCCTCAAATTTCATAAATTTATTTTTCTAATCTTTTCCATAGTTTTTAAGCATTATTTTCCCTCTTTAATTATATCTGGCTATCAATGCAGATGATGGAAGATCTACGAGAACGCTTCTTTGGTCCTTCATTTGAACTTCAATCACATAATAAAGTAAGTGGTCATTGGTTCTTGGTGTTGATAAAAATGACAAATTGAAGGGCTGCTAATTTTTGTTTCATATTTAGGTTCTTTTCTTTTCTTGAGTGAACATTTGACTATAGAGATATTGGATATTCAAAAGTCAATCATTAGCCAGGTTCTGGTTAAGTCCTTGCATTGCTACTGTTTAATGAAACTAGCGCTTATAAGTGTTCATTGTTCTCATACCATCCGTAACGGTGACAACTCTGAATTTTCTATTGCCATTACCTACAGTATGCAGAGATTTGGGATGCTGACGAGAAGGATCCAATTGCAAGGCCAAAAGGAGGAGAAAGTGTCAAGGATGTTGCTTGTAGACTGGCAAGGGCAATGGCTGTCATAGAGTCAGAATGCAGGGGGTAATGATTTTCATCTCAAGCATCTATCATTTAATTATCTTGTAGAAGTCTTGTGTATTTCAGCTTGTTCCAGGGCATCACCTCTACTGAAATCTGGAGTAGCAACAAGCATGCAAATTAACAACTTGAATTGTAAATGGATGTTAAATTTAAAATAGACTTTTCTTGTGATCTAAATGGAGCTGTTTGTCTCACTGACTGTAATTATCTGAATCTTTACATCTATTATTACAACATCTGACTCTCATCCCGGTGCATGTAAAGTATGTTATGGTGTACTTGATTTATATTTTATGACTCAGAGCCTAAAAGAATTGGTTCCCATAGTGCAGATGTGCCATTTTGGTAGTCAGCCACGGAGATACCCTGCAAATCTTGCAGTCACTTTTGAATGCAGCTAACCAACACAAGGATTCAACTTATGTTGAGTTAGAATCAAGATTAGAGGCAGTCCAAGTGGCACCCATACTATCCGAGCACCGCAAATATTCGCTGCTTACTGGAGAGCTCAGGGCAGTCATTTGATATTTGCTGCCCAGAAGAAAGGCAGCCATTTTTTGCGATCCTATCTCATTTGCCAATTTACTGTGATCATATTTTTGAAGAATTAAAATGGACTTTTGCAGACATCATATGTGACAATATATCTATCAAGAATGTCGCGATTCACATTCAAAGTGTTATGTATAGGAGGTTTTAACTTGGTTCTGACAAGATTTCTTTACATATCCTGCGGCTAGAAATGGCTCGATGGCAGTTATTTTGCTTTAGAATTGTCAACAGATAGTCACTTGCAGTCCAACGTTGAGAAACCATGTGTTACTTAACAGTGTTTTTGAAGAAATTGGTCAGTTTCCAGAATCCAGGATTAGTCCTGTTATGGCGACAAGGCATCTTTCAGATACATGGCAAAGGGCTCGACAATTGACACTGAAAAGTGACAACAATGGTGGGAACATCTGACAGCAATGCAAGTGGAAAAAGGAGAATCAATGTGGCTTATGACGAAATTAGTGACTGTTGGGATGAAGGCTCCCAACAATAGTCGCTTACCTATCTTGGAGGCAAGTGGGCTTGCCTATGCTGAGATGACCGAATACGATCATCAATTGTGCTCCTAAAATATATGCAGCATCATTTAAGTAGAAGTCCCTTTACCCTTAGAAATTACGGCTGGTGGTGAAAGGGTATTACCTAATGATGCATGTAGATCACAGGAGATGATGAGAACTCGTGTAATAGTCATAGTATAATGTGAGAAATTTTTACTTGTCCATCAGTCATTTCTCCATTAAGAGGGACAGTGGCCACAGTCCATACTCCCATTCCCATTATTGCTGGTTTGCATGGTCTAAACGTCCCATTGGATACTCCATGACTGAGAGGATTGAGCTTTGGAAGAAGGAAAAGTTTGAAATTGTCAATAGCTGGCTAATGCTATATGTTTTTCCGTATTCCTTTAGTTTCTAAGCATCGTTTGATGTTTATGGCATCTTGTTCAATAGATAGAAATATGCCTTCATAGCGAATTTGATGACTAAAATTGATTGATAGGTTTTAGTAGCACTAGGATGTTTAAAATCAATTCAAAACAATATGAATTGATCAAAATCAAATTGATTTATTTTTTTTTTAAATTGATTGGTTTGTTTGATTCAGGTTTTTGTTTTTGAAAACTTGAATTAAATTGAATCAAATTTTATTATATTTATTATATATATATATATATATTTTATAAATTTGTCTAAGATTTTTTTCCTTTTTCAAGTTTAATTATTTGTAAATCATTAGTAAAAATACATTACAATTAGCTAAATACTATCTATAATCTTTTGTGATAATTTTTTAATTTTACAATCAAGTGTTTTAATTTTTAAAGATAAATGATAGAGCACAATGTCGTCTTGCAATCCATGTAGCCGATCTCATCTAGTGGGATAAAGGCTTGTTGTTGTTGTTTAATAGTTAAATATGCTAATTAATTGTTAAAAAAAAATTCTTGTGTTCAAGAGATTTTTTTATTAAAAATAATAATTAATAATTAAAAATTACCAATAAATGTGAATATATATTGATGATTGTGAAAAATATCTAAAAAAAAGTTTAAACTTGAGTCAGATTAATCGAACAAAATCATTCAAAATTAGAACTAAACAGATTAAACGACGTCGTTGCGATCGGCTCGTCTTCAAGAAAGCAGGAGTAATGACCAGGAGGACTGGGGAAGCCTGATTTCCAAATTTCAATTCTGCCAAGCTGAGAGACAATTGAGAACCTAACTAGTAGAGATGGAAAACACTGCAATACTAAGGGAATGGTTTGATCGAGTTGACTCAGACAGAAGTGGAAACATAACAGTTCTCCAACTCAAGGTTCTTTTGGCATTTCTTACTTTCCTTTTCCTCATCTATTTTCCGTTCATTCCTTTTAAGCTGTCTTTGTGTGACGGTGTCTTTGTATTATTCTTTAATTGAATGAAATGTTTTGATAATCAGAGAGCTCTGTCTGTGGGCAACCTCGAATTTCCCCTCTCAGTTGTTCAGCAGATGATCAGGTACGATTTCCCCAATTTCTCTGTTTACTTAAATACGTGGACCATATTATATCTCGGAGTTTCCTTGGAAATGTATATTTTGTTTGTTTGATTGTCCTGGATGACGCGGTATTTTATTTGAATTTTCCCCTGTAGGATGTACGATTTCGACAGGAACGGTACAATGAATTTCGAAGGTGAGTTATTACGCTTACTGCCGTGTCTGTATGTTCGTTTTTAACTTACCTGGTGCCTTTAATATAAAATCACGTACGAGCATGGGCATTTTGATATCGAAGATCTTCATCAAGGATAAATTTTTGCCGTCATAGTTTGGTTTGGGTGCCTGGTTTGTATCTGAAGTTATGTTTGCATGTCGAAGCTGGACAACGAGTGTTTCCCTGCAATTGTAACTTGGATTATGTATGTGTGGGCAAGAAAAAATGACAAGCGAATGAACCACCACACGCCTTCTTGGGATACCATCTTGAAACTCTATCAATCATGTGTAATTGAAACGTATTTTCCCAAGTTTTTGCTTTTTTGGTGGTTGGTCTTTGGGAAGTAATTGGTATTTAGGAAATATCAAAAAAAGGTGTTACCAGTCTCTCTCTAACCTTTGATTAATTTTTCCCCAGAATTTGTTGCATTGAACAAGTTCCTTCTCAAGGTTAGTAGTTTTTAATTGAGATCGTCTAAATGACGTATCTGTAGCTCTTAGCTGATTTCTGCTAGTACACTACCTCAATGTTAATGTTAACTTTTTGTCATAATTCAAATTCACACTACTTCTATGAGGCTTCTGCATCGCCATTCTCAATGAAGAATCATAAGTTACTCATTTAATATTAAATATTAACTACTTGTATTTTCATATGACTTTCAATGGCTTTGCAGGTTCAACATGCATTTTCTGATCTAGAAAGGTGATCTATTGCTTTTTCCCAAAATTTGTGTTCAGTTTAATGTCAAGTCTTCGAGGCCCCCTCCCTCCTGAAGTCGCTCTAGTGCGATTAAGTCAATGATGAACACCATGCAGGAAAGTGTTAAAGGCTATGGACATCTTAAACCAAGGGAGCATGACTAGTTTGAATCTTATCATTGTCACTCTTCTGGTTTTATTTATAAGGCAGAGAGAGAAGAAAAAATTTAGTCATATTTATTGGGCACTTGTCAATTCCCAATGTTCATATTTATATTTTTATCCTCATTAAATGCTTTGAATAAAAATACCACTAATGAGATTTAAGAATATTTATTAAGGATAAAGGCGAAAACTTGTTAATTTTTAAGACAAAGTTAATGGGGTTTAAGGTTTTTTTTGGTTCTGGTAAAACATGCTGAAAGTCACTTATAAATAGGATTAGGGGAAGTATAAGCTGATGGTATATTTATGAGGCGATTCTAAGTAATGAATTTCATCAAAAAGTTTGACACCCTTTTTACTCTTAGACATACTGACACTCTCTTTGGTTGTCAAGCAATATCAGCTTTGTTGGTTTATCCTTATTTGAGGAATTTGGAGATAACACTACTTGGGTTCATTGATGCAGAGGCCGTGGTTTTCTTGTGCCTGAAGACGTACACGAGGTATATGGTAATTCATCTTTAATGCTCTTGAATATTGATAATATACCATGCCTTGCTAGAATAATATTCATATAGTCCATCCAATTTAACATTTACATTTTATAGTATTTACTTCCCAAGATGTAACAGCAAAAAAGTTAACCTCCTTTGATGCTGGATATGCTTTTTTTTATGTCATCCTTGCTTCTTAACCCAGGGGTGGAACCAGCTTAGGATTTCAAGGGGACCAAAGTTGGGTTGGCTTGGGTTGGCCAACCGTGAACAAGTGACCATGTATAAGCATACTTTATTAGTCTTAATATACAAAGCACGTCTAAGATCAATGTTTTATTGGAATTAAAAAATACTAAAATTCATTAACTTTTTGTAAATACTCTCTCCAATCTAAAATATAAGCATTTTCTCCTAGCTAATCTTGGTTTAAAATATAAGTAACTTAATATTTGTTTTAAAAAAAAAACCCCTATTTTATCCCTTATATTTATTAACCTAGATTCTTGTGTATGTAAATTTATGACCTTCTTTTCACTTATCATAAATTGAAATTGGAGCTAAGAGTAAAAAAGGAAAACAACATATATATTTATGGAATAAGGATTTTGTTGATATGCAGATTAATAGATTATTGTTAAAAGATGCTTATATTTTAGACTAGAGGGAGTATTTAATAAGTTTTTCAACTTGGACCCTATTTAATTTACATACTTTATTAATGTATTTTATTTCACCAACATTTACCCCTCATTTTGGATGGGAAGAAAATTAGGGAAGAAAGAAAATTAGGAAAGAAAACTTCTGAAAATAGTAAGAAAATTTACTATTTTGAAAATTTCTCTTCTTAGTTTCCTTTCATCTCTATTTTCTTTTCACTTTTTCATCCATCTTAATGTGTAAAAGTGTAAATTGTGAAAAAAATCAATGATATGCTTATAAATAAGACTAAAAAAATCCTTCTATCTATCTTATAAACAAGACTGAACGGAACATAACTAAAACCTCGATGGCTTCTTTATTTCAACTTGCTCTCTCTCTCCCTCTCTCTCTCTCTCTCTGTCTCTCTCTCTCTGTGTCATTAAATTTGTTGATGCTAGCATTTACTCTTCCGGCCACCTCTTTAAAACATGCTTGAGTTTGGATTTGGATGAAAAAACCCTTTCTTAGAACTGACTTCATCCTCTCGAAGCAATGCAGAACTCACCAAACCCAAAAAAATATTACAGATACATCATTAACCTTACCCAAAAACCTTTCCAAATAAAGTGACGGACCCAAAAAGATATTAGTAACAGGGGCAATATTTATGCCAAATATAGTATTAATATCTTTTTAAGAAATATAATTATTAGTATTAATTAAAAATAATAATAAAAACAAATTATATGAGAACTTTAAAATGTATCTTAATTTTGTTTATATCATAAAATTATTTTTATAATAAATACAAGAGTAAACAATAGTTTTAAATATGTGTTCTTGATAATTTTAAAAAAATGTGGGACAATTAATTTTTCATGGGGGGAAACTGCAATTTTAAGATGGGGGCAAGTGTAATTTTGACAAAAAAGAAGTGTAATTTTTGCAAATTTCATAGGGACAATTGCCTCCTCTTTCTATAACATGGGTACGTCCTTGGATAAAGCCATGGTTGAGAGACATACACTATAAATATGGGACCTATACCTCTTTGGAAAAAATAAAAAAGTTGGCAGGGGGCCCACCTATAACCTCGGTCCGCACCTCTTAACCCCCTGCCTGCCTTCTGGAAATAGTTAAATGCATAACAGGGCCCTTGATTTAGATGCTTTTCAGGATCCAGGGATAAAGTAAACTGGAATCTGCACATGCCTGTTTACACTGCATAGGGATATGATTCTCCCTTGTTAATTTTGCTGAATGCCCTAATAAATTTTTCAGGCATTGGTCAAAGTTGGTTTCATGCTGGATTCTCCTGCTTTTTATACTGTCTGTGAGGTAAAGCATCTTCATTTTGTTAAGATATCAACTAATATTTTGTAGTTGGCCAGCAAAAAATTAATTAGTTTAATGTTAGAGAAGTTGTTCATGACTATGTGCATGCTTCAATTTTTCTATTTTCCATTTTTCTTTGATGTTGCAGTGGTCAGACAGAGAAACCATTAATGTATTGTGATTGACATGAATTAATTTGTCAGTACTGTATGCTGAATTTTGCCTCTGAAAGAATCTTTAATTGGTGAAGTAATTGATAGGAATTCATTACTTTATATAGAAGGCACAAGGCAAGAGAATTTCCAGTCAAAATGCATCAATGGGATTAGTTGATAAGGGAGTTATTCATGTTGAATAACTACCATTTTATGTGCTGTCAGAATTTTATCATTGCAGTTTATCTCAAGGGTGCTGAGTTGTCAAGTAATTAGGATATTAGTATGTGTGTGCTGTCAATTTACAGTTATAACTGTAGGTTTATGGTTTATATAATTGTAAGACATTTTATGGGGAATATATGATGTTTTCTGACTTCGACTTTGGAGATTCTCCTTCCCTGGCTTTGTCTAGTTTTTATGAGATTCATGTCCGGACTTAGATAAAGATTTGACTCCCTTCCCTATTTGTTGAGTTCTAACAGTATTTGTGCAATATTGCAATCCAGAATACCGAGCTAACTATTTCTGTTGAATTTTTTAGAGCTTTGATCAAAGTAAGAATGGGAGGTTTCGGCTTGATGACTTCATATCTCTCTGTATATTCGTACAGTCTGCTCGGTAAAGCCGCGTGTTTATATCAAGTATCATGGTCTTCAAGTTGAGAGTATTATTGTTGTTGTTGTTATTATTATTTGTTTTGAGGGAGAGGGGTTGAACAGCTTTTAATATGCCATACGTACCGGGTTTTTTTTTTTTTTTTAAATGAATAATATTGTAGTTTGGTTTGACTGCTTGCTGAAACGAGAATCTTGTATTGTGTGTCTTTCAGGAATCTGTTTAACTCATTTGATACAGCGAAACAAGGCAGAGTCACACTTGATTTTAACCAATTCGTGTATTGCAGTGAGTGCAAACTGATCGACCTTGTATAATTTTTGCTTTTCATTCTTTTATTTTAAAAATCTTGCATTAGAATTTTGAAGGCTTAAGTAGAAGCATAAAATATTGCTTTTCCCACGCTACTTCCTCAATCATTTTAGCCCCTGAAGCCATTGTTAGTCCTTGTAGAGTTGTTATATATCCTTTCCTGTTTTCCGTCTTGAGTTCTGAGTACTTTCTGACTATATTTCACAAATCGTATGGACAGAATCCATTTTATTATCTTTTCTTTCTGGTATATTGCTATCTGAGCTCGAATTATCGATCCTGTTCCTTCTGATTTTTTTTTTTTTCATTATCTCTATCCAGCTGGTAATTGTAGAATATGATTCAAATATCCGATCGGCTTCGAAGATGATATGGATGCTGCATTTTGTACCGTACCTCCCGAGATTCTTGGATCAAATTTAATTGTGATTTCTGCGTAATATTTTGAAAATTTTATGTAATTGTAATTTCCGTTTAAATTCGTTATAGATTTCTCGTGTACGGCGGATTGTTATTGACTTATGACAGGATGATGCACTGTGAAGAATTAATTGGGATGACGCTGGAAAAGATGTGTAATATGGTGCATCATCTGGATGTTCGAATTTTCTTGAATTTTATTTTTTTAGTTTTTAATTAAACAAAGCAGGATATAAAATAATGTGTGACCTTAAAGCATCAAATATAAAATAATAAGATTGATAGATGCAACATGTAGAACCAAATAAATCATGCTTTGTGGAGAATATCAATGACTTGTTTTATTTTTATTTTCTTGAAAAATACTATTTTTGGTTTTTGTACTTTGTTTAGGTTTTGATATAGATGTAACATTTCAAATATTTAAACAAGACATTAAATAAATTAAACATTAATTGTGATTAATGTAGGTTAAATTTTAAAAATTTTATTTTAAGTCAGTTTTTTTAAAAAAAGGAAGAGAATAAATGAGGTTAGAAAGAATTGAATTAAATTATTTAAGAGATTGTTTCAAGTTAACTTATTATAAATATTTTAATATTATAACAATTTTACTTGAACAAAAATATGCAAACTTAATTTAATCTTATAAATTTTAGGAGGAAATAATAAAATAAATAAATAATAGAATAAATATAATATATATATATATATATATATATAAGGCCAGGTGTTGTAAACCGTTTGGAGGAATATGTATTTATTAAAAAAAGAAAAAATGAATAGGGGAAGATGTCAGACGCACACTATTTAATTTTTTTTGAATGTAAAGCCATAGAAAACTGTTCAAAAAGAAAGAATTAGGTTAAATTTAGACTCACAAAAAGTCAACATCTTAGAGGTGATTCATTAAAAATTAAGGTATTTATGTTGTCACTCAAAACTTAATGAACAAGCTAATCTACGTATTTATTACATTCTTTAAACGTGCAGTTAAAAGTGATAATTCAAGAAAGCATTTGGTTCTTTTTATAGTTTTGTTAAAAACACACCATCCAATTTTTAAAAGCTACCAAGGACAGCAATCATTTTTCTCTTTATTCTTCCTTTCAGCCTTCTCCAGCATGCGCACGCATAGGGAGAGACCAGCATTGGTGGGTATTTTTTTTTTTTTTTAAGTTAGGTTTCATTTTTAGATATTTTAAGTATGATTTAAATATTTTTAAGGCTAGATAAATTTTTTTTTGAGGATATTTCTTCACTTTATTTTAAAAATTTTGATAGTGAAGATTTGAGATTTCCTATAATTTTGAATTTCTGATATTTTTGGCTATGAGGGAAGTTTTTATTGATATAAATTGATGAAATAGAATTGTTGGAAGCATATTATTGTTGCTAGAATAATGAGTATGATTTATTTGCATATTTTATCTGAATTTTTGTTGATGTAAGCAAACTCTAAGTTAGAAATGGGTAATATGAGGATATTGTTAGTGGTTAATGGGTTTAATTAGATTCATTAAAGTTTAATAAAGCTTATGAAACTATTAGATAGTAAGGTTATCCAAAAAAAAATTTTTAAGTAAAAATGGGTAGTTAAGAAAGTGATAAAATTAGTATTGTATTAATGTTTTTGAGTTGTCTAATTGTAGATTAAATTCTTTTGAGTTCTTAGAGCATTTGAAAGCTTGAAATTGGATTGAATATATAGGTGTTCCTTTTGAATGACTCAGGAGGTGTAGGTAATTGAAAACCTAAATTTCCTCATATGCTTGTTTAAGTTTTTTTTTTTGGGTATTTAGAAATTGTGAAGTGTGTGTGTAGATGAAAATGCTCTTTGAATGTTTTAGAAAATATGTAAAGTGAGTGTGAGCTTAAGTGTGGAAAGTTGTGGTTAATTGTGTAAACTTTGTATCTTGATTGTTATGAGCATGATGTGAGATTTGATTAGAAATATGCCTATATGTTTATGAATTTGAGTGTGATGATAGAGGCATGAATTTGGTGGCAGGAGATAATGTAACATTATGCATGTAAATTGAGTACATTGATGGCACAATAAAGAAATAAAATAGGAAGGAGTTCACCCTAGTTGAGATATTATTATATTGTAAGTCTATGTAGCATGGACAACACTTATGTAGCTCCCAGTGTTGGATAGTTGTGGCATCAGCTCCAATAAGAGTTTGGTATGGTTCCGACTTAGCTGATGATACTTTACTTTAAGAGTGGGTATGTATTACCAACAACAATTATAACACCTTATGGGAATTCAATTAGTAAGGGGAGTCTATGGTTCAAGTTAGGGAATGGTGACATTTGATCAAGTTACCCCTCTAACAATGAAGAGCTTGGGCTAATCTAGTTACATGGATTGGTCTTGTTATGAATTATAGCCTATGGACTCAATCAAAATAAATAAGGAGGAGATAAAGGGAAATTTAGGGAGAATTACAACAAGGTCCCACAGAATGACAATTGGGCTAATCTAATTACATGGATTGACAATCAAACTAAATTGCATTAACAATTGAATTAAATTGCATTAACAACTAATTAATTTAGTTTAGTTGTCAATGCAGTTTAGTTCAGTTGTTAATGGACCTTGCAGTGATTAATTTTCTTATGTGAGACTTCAATGTAATTCTTTCAAAAATTAATTGCCTGTGTATACTTAAATGTTTTATTATGATTTAATATTGTATTTTGCCAACTTTACATGCCCTTAATGCTTATGCTCGTAGATGTTAGAAGTTAGCATTCTTTAGTTATTTAAATGTTTTTCTCACCCTATGATTAATATTTACAGGTAACACTTTGGTAGTGGCAAAAGGAAGGATCCAGAGCGTTAAAGCTAGATTGCACCTTGTATAGTCTCATCCCGTGATTAATACTTTTGGCCATCATATAGAGATTTGCTTCTTCTTCTTTTGCAAATTCCTCTTCACTGTCACCTTATATTGAAAATAGATATGCTTTGAACTTTTTTTTATCATATTTGTAGCTCTTGCTCTCTTGCTTTAAGGGACAATCAGCTTTGATGTGGCCTAGCTTTTTGCACTTGAAGTAAATGATCTCTTTGTCTTTCTTCTTTAAGAATTTCTTGTTGAATTTCTTCTTCCCAAAAAATTTTTCAAACTTTTTGACAAACATAGCCATTTCCTCATCAGAATCTTTACTGTCACTAATTTTAGAGTTAGAATTTTCTTTTGATACTTTCAATGCCAATGATATCTTTTTCTCGCCATCCTCCTTAAGCATTGATACTCTCCCTTCATGTTTAGCAAAGCTCCCAAATAATGCTGCCACTGATCTCATAAAATCATTTTTTTCTTCCTCAATGGTAGTAATTTTTTGTTGCCATTTAGTAGAGAGTCCTCTTGTAATATACTGAACTTTAACTTTGAGAATTTTCACTATTTATAAGGGTATTTTAGTCAAATTAAGTGGATTTTTTGTTAATAATGTTTTAAGGAGACTAATGTAGCTAATGGATTCTTAGACAGCCTTAAATGAGAGCTAGATTGAAGTACAAGCGAGCCAGGGCACGGAGAGAGATTCAAAATGAGTGTGGAGTTCTCTGTGCCATGAGTCATAGTAGACGAGTCATGTGTCGCAGTGTATGTACAATTTTTTGCTTTTATCATATCGTGAAATCAGATGAAAAATCAGAGAAAGAGAGAGAGATACTGAGAGGGCATCGGGGGGAGCTCGTGGTCTACTAGGGCACGACCTTAGGACCATATTGGAAGCATTTAGAGTAAGATTTAGCTTTGGGTAAGCTTCCTTCACTTCTCCCTCTTCCTTTTATGTGAGTTTTATGGTGATTTACGTATTTCGAGGCTATGATTTCATGTTTTCTTAGGTAATGGCTGAATCCATTGCCTTAATTAAGGCCTTGGGAAGTTAAATCAAGCCTCTAAACCTATATTTATGGATTTCATAAAGATTTAGAGTTGTTAGTTAGGATCTGGAGGAACTTTATGTAGAAATTGGATGATTAAGAGCAATGTGAGTAATGTAATAATGTTGTTTATATGTTAGGATGTTAAATAGAGTTAATATAGTATGTTGGAAGAATTGTTAGGGCTAAATTGAGGTCTTGAGCAAAATGAGTATCCCTAGTATTAAAAATGAGGTGATTAGAGTGAGGATTTGACAATTAAGGGTTTAATTGTGTAAATTAACCTTTGATTGAGTATTGTGGTACTAGTAGATGTATGTAGAGCTGTTGGTTGACCACGGTAACCCTTTTAGTGACAAAAGGTTTGAGGTAACTAGATTATCTAATCTTCCTTTTTGTGTGTTGGATGGTAGTGTGTTTGATTTAGAAGTTATGTTTTGGTTTAATACTACCTATTATTAATATGAAATTATGATTTTAAAGTTATATGAAGTGAAATGAAAACTTGTTCTAATGCTTTTGTATTTGGAAAGCTAAATGCTATTTTTATGTAAAATTACTTATGAAATTCTATGATTTAAGTGAAAATGAGAAATTGTGATAAATGATATGTTATGGATATGTGTTGGGTGTATTAAATATGTTTGACATGATCATTGTGAGAGGGTAGGAGTTCACCTTAGTGTGTTGTTAGGATATTGTTTAGAAATCTATATGGTACATTGGCACCATGAAGGCCTTGGTGCTCAGTATTATATTCTTTGGAAGTTCCAGTATTACAAGTGGTAGATTGGGCATTGACACCCCTAGCAATTATAGATAGGGGGAATCTATGGTTTATAATGGGTGAAGGCTCTCTTGGCCAAGGCTTTCTCCTACTAATGGTAAGCTTTGGCCAGTCCGGTCACATAGACTTAGTCATATCGAATTGTTAGCTCACAGATTCAATCGAAAGACATAAGGAGGGTATAAGGTGGTATGTTAATCATACATATCATTCTATAACCATGTGTATGGATTTATGAGACATGTTATATGATTTACTATGTCACTTTACATACGCACAAACTGTTCTCACACACGAGTGGTTGATTAGACTATTTAGTTACCGAGTCCTCAACTCACCTCATGGTTACAGGTGAAGGCTTTGATGAGGGCAAGGGAAAGGAAGGTGCAATCAAGCATTGAGGGGACTAGCTTTAAATTGTATAGTCCTTATATCTATTTTGGTTTGTAACGAATATTGAATGCATATGCCAACTTAGGACATATACATATACATATACATATA